CAGCTGCTAAATATGATCATTTCAGCTGCTAATAATATGATAATTTCCCGTCGCCCTCGTGCGGAGCAGCTTCATGTTTGCGCGGCAGAGAATGAAAGAGTTCAGAGGAGGAACGAGGAAGAACAGAGCGGAGCTGCCAGCCGGGTCATGACGACCCCCCACATCGAAGCTAGGACGGCCCACATCCTGCCACTGACCTTTGACCTCCCGTAGTGCAGGGCGTGGCTCAGGTCGTCAGCTGAAAACAAACAGCTGATGATGTTGACGGATCATCTGTCTGTTCAGCTGCATGCCTGAGTGATGAGAAGGCTCTGAGTCATCCCGACTCATCGTCTGCTTTGAGTTTATCAGAAAGAAAGCTGTGTTGGGGGGGGGGGGGGGGTCCTTTCTGCTCATGAACTTCCTAAATGACGCTGGTGTGACATTAACGTGTCTTTCTTTTGTTCTCCAGCAGGAAAACGGAGCAACTTCTCCACATGCAAAGCAAAGGCAGCAGACACTCTGCTAGAAATGGAGGCCTGTTAGATTCCACCAAGACCCTAAGAAGTTTCTGAAACAAGCCTCCGGCTCTCAGAGGACCCCCCCATTCCTCCCTGACCCCCCCTCAACACATTCATGTGCTCACTGTTGGACTCCTCCCTTTCTGAAGGCTTCAGAGACACTGAACGAGACAATCAGGAGTCTGGAGGAGCGCCCTGACGTAACCTCACCCTCACACCAAAACTCCTGGCATTGACCCCCCCCCACTGATCTGTCATTTCCCTTCAATTATTAGCTTTACTGCAATCTGAGGGCACTGCACTGAAAACCAGACTGCTTCCCCGCACCGCCCAACACCCGTCACTAAGTTATTCTAAGTTATTTGTCTCTTTCTGTAAAGTTCATAAGGCTGACTTCAATCTCCCCCCCCCCCCCCCCCGTTTATCTCTCACTGGATTCGTGTTGTATCGGAGAACATTTAGGGTTTCACCCGACGGACCAAACGCCTGTTTTTAGCTGCACTAAGGAAGACGGAGGGATCTCATCTCGTGTAGGAAGCGTCCCGTCTGTTTGTCGCTGACCAAGTTGGTGCAAAAACAAAAAGAAGAAAAAAGGACGAACATTTCAACGTGTTTTTTACACTTTTTCATTTTGAATGCTTTTTTGTATCTGGTTTCATTTTCTTGGTGTATATTTTAGTGATTTTTTTAAATAGTGGTATAAATGAAAATAAGCTTTGGACGCAAGAAAGCCATTTTTCTTGTTAAGGATCTCGCAGAAAATGGAAACTTAAGGCTTTTTTTGATAATTATTTGTAACAAATAGTGACCTCGAGTCTTGCTCACGTGTAAAATACTGCTCAGTATGTGTACTTTTTCAAACTGTCAGGATATGTTGAATTTTTTTCTGGATATTTTTGCATTAGGACAAAGGCGTGGGTGTCAGCTCAGAGCCTATATTTTATTGTTCTAAAACACGACAAATGAAGCAGATATATATATTTACGCCAGCACTTGACAGTCTTTTCTTTTATTGAAATGGACCTTTTTGTTTAGTCTTTTCTCTTTCTGGTAGCGACTAGTGTGCTCTGTAGCCATGTTGTTTATTCCACTCCAACATCTCTGTAACTTTTTCACTTCAACACTATTTTACTATTACTTGACAAGTTCCTTTTCAAATATATATATAAATATATATATATATATATATATATATATTTCGGGTCACTGTAATCTTGGGACAGCATTTTGCTTTCCAAGTGGACATGTTTGAATTGTTTTACCATGTTTTATTTTGTTGTTTTTTAAAGAAAATAAAAAGGCACCATTGGCTCAACTGGTTGCTCATGTGGTGAAAAAAGTGAGTTTATCATTGATTTATTATTGTTCATCATTGATTCATTTATCATTGATATCATTTAAGATTGATTTATTATCATTCATCGCTGATTTAACATTCACCAATTTATTATCATTTATCATTGATTTATTATCGTTTATCATTGATTTATTATTGTTTATCACTGATTTATTATCATTTATCATTGTTTGTTTGGTGTTGTTACACAGATATTTTGATGACAAACATGAAAACAAGTTAATACTTTTTAATTTGTACATATGTAAAATATGTATAAATTTCAAATGTTGATCTTTGTGTTAATTAATATCAGTCAGACTTCTTGGCCCCTTCCTTTCACCCGTTTCTGGTGAAACAGCCCCCTCCTGTGTTCATCTCAGGTTAAGTTATAATAAATTTATGGTGAGCAAGAATTTTTTTTTCTTTCCTCAAAAAGTCTTTTCAGACTTATGCCCAGGAATCAAGAGGCCCACATACTGAGCTGAAGCAGAGAACAAGTGTGCCACCCAACTCCATCCATCATCTTTACCTGCTTTTTCATATCTGGGTCACTGGTGTCCATGTCCAGCAGTCACTGAGAGGCAGGGGACACCCTGGACAGGTCTGCAGTCCATCACATGTGTGTGTATGTGAATGTGTGTGTAGTAGAGAGCTGTATGAATGTGTGTAGTAGAGAGCTGTAGGAATGTGTGTAGTAGAGAGCTGTATGAATGTGTGTAGTAGAGAGCTGTATGAATGTGTGT